AGCTTACGTTTAGAAACAATGACAACTTACAGAGTCCACCTCTTTGTACTGTGATCCAGTTAGCCAAGATTCCAAACTGACCTACTGGCAAGATGGGTCAAGAGGCAGGCCCACTGCAGGAGAGGCAGCCCTGTCTTTCAGCACACAGAATGGAGTCAGAATCTGGGTACTACTAATGTCTGCTTTGTAGCTTTAGGCAAATTGTGTCATCCTACACTGTTTGGTAACAGGAGAAAAATTATGCAACGAGTCTCATGTACAATGATTTCATGAAGATTTCCAGGCTTCCCGGGGCAGCAGCTCTCCGACAGGATAAAGTCTTCTGCCCTTCCCTGCCCCGTGCTCTGGATGGAGCTCACACTTTCCCAGCAGCACCTTGATGAAAGCCAAATACAGGCAGGCACAAGTTAACACACATACACACGCATGCGTGCACACGCACTCAACCACAAGATACAAAGCATGCCGGTCGGTCTGAGCACAAACCCTGTGCCACCCAGAAACCATCCCCCCAGGCGTCATAACACTCATGCCCTCATGCCGTAGACTCAAAAGACAGACGTAAACAAGTAGTTGTAGCAAGGCTGATGTTTCAACTCAAAATCAAATGACTCCAGGACACATGCTCTTGTCTCAGGTATTTTTGTAGTCTTAACTCCCAAGTTACCTCCAGGTTTTTACAGGAACTAGAAAAGATATACACCCTTTTCATTTTAATACTTGAAATTGAACCAGGGCCTTGCACATGCTAGGCAAGCATGCTGCCACGGAGCCAAGTTAGCAGGGGTTCTTAGATTTAATTTTGGGGCTATTCCAAAGAAAATATTTGATGGTGTAAATTCTACTTGAGGTGTTAGGGTACTCTGAGGTCTGCTTTGCCTGCTGGATAATCACAGACCTCGGAAAGGTGCAGGAGAAAGGATACGCTTCTCCAAAAATATCCAGACTCACGAAGTCATGAACTGGGCCCTCATGATGGACCCGGACACTGCGGCATGTATGACCTTTCCTCCTCCGTGCACACGGATGGTGATGGTCAGTGACGGGAAGCCTGACTTTTCCTCACTTAGCTCCCTACTTCAACAGTCAACGAAATGCGTGTACCTAAAGCGTGTTGAGATGGCCCCTTCAATGACTTCCACCTGTGTGTAATGTTCTCCCACCGGAACACAACAGAACATGACTGCAAGGATTGCCTTACCCTAATGGCAAAAGGCCTTGTCCAACAGAATGAAATTTACTCGTTAACTGACTTTGATTTAATGGAATTGTGATGATCCAGATGGGCATAACCTGATTATCCAAGCCCGTCAAAACCAAGGATTTCTCTCCCCGGTACCAGAAGTCAGAGGTGCAGAGGTCTGCGGTTGAGATAGAGGGGAAGAGCCCCTTAGAGAGCAGGCCTCAGGGGATTCCCTGGTTTCATTCAGGGACTTGGACGCCAGGGCCAAGGCAGAAGGGCCTGAATTCTTCCCACAGCCCGAAGGAGCCTGAGAGCAGACCCTTTCACTGCCTCAGGGAAAGGCCCTCCGTGTCACACCTTGATTCCTGCCTGAGGATATGCTCAACTGAGGACACTAAGGAGCCTGCCCAGCCCTCCAGGTGTGGGTCGGGAATGTGAGACAATGATTGGGTGTAGTTTGGAGCCCTGGAGATGGAGGTAGAACTGCAGTCCTACAGAAACCAGAGCTAAACAGCCAGTCACCCCGAGCAGCGTGGGCAAGGAGAAAGCCTGAGCGCCTCCTGTCACGGCACGCTCTGCGAGGCTCCACAGAGGAGCACCTACCCTGACCACCCTCAGACTTGGGAGTCCCCAAGCGACCCATTCCACTACCAGCCAGGAAAGTTTTCCAAGACAGTTTCCATCTGAAATATCACATTAGTCCGTGTGTTCCCACTTTGGTCTGAAAGCGTGGTCACTTCTACAGTGGTGTGAAGTTGCTAAGTTATTGGCTATAGGCCACTCCTTTTTCAAACTGTATTCATAATTTTCAAAGACAGAATGGTAGTTAATGCCTATTTATTATCGGGCTTGGCCCCTAACAGTACTGATGGTGTTCCCCCACAGCCTATCTGAACAAGACATAAAATCACTCTAATTTTGACAACAGTTAAGTAGATGGTCTAAACCTGTTGACCACACAGGTGGGATTTGAGCCTCAGTCATCGCATGCAAAGTTCAGAACGCTTTCAGGTATGGTACAAAGAAAGGACTGTAAAACAGGGTGTGAGGAAAGTGGACCAGTGACCACTTAGGTCTGACTGGTGGAGGCACAGTAAGGGGGTACTATTTAAAAGGTGCTGGGTTTCATGAGGAGATGATGAGAATATATAGACTCGACTGTGGTTCTGTTATTTATATGTCTACGAATGTAATAAAAACCCCTGAGTGGCACCTGTAAATACATATTAATTATATGTCTTTTTTTTTTTTTTTTTTGGTACTGGGAATTGAACTCAGGACATTGCACTTGCCAGACAAGAATTTGTGCCACAATTATATCACAATCTCTGGCCCAAATATTTCACAAAAGGTAACGTTTATTTCAAGGTCAGTGTGAAGGCTGCTGTCCTTGTGTGAGAGCAAGTCCACACACATGAGGGTTTGGAAACAGTGGAGGTTAAAGTAAGCCACAGGCAGCCTTGAGTATCGCACTAAGCAGCCTGTAACTGTTTCTTAGAAAAACACTGATTCCCCACAAAGGGTTTTAAATAGAGTGAAAAGCCCATTCATGTTTTAGAAAGATCCTTCTCCTGGCTTCTAAGTGAAGGATCCTTCTGGTGACCCTAGTAAGAATGTACACTAGTGCAGACATTGATGAGGAGGCTCATGTTTAACCCACCAAAAAGATGAAGACTTGGCCCAGGGTGATGGGATAATGAGGTACCTAGTGTTTGAGAAGCAACCCTGACAGAAAGGAGATAAAGGCAAGGGAGGAACAAAGGACAGATGGGGTCCCTAGGGAGGAGTCCAGCTTCTTAAAGAGGGCCTGCCCAGTCCTGTGTAGAATCTTGGGAAATGGACCCAAGGCAATGAGGACAAAGGAGAAAGCTATGTACTTCAGAAGGTGAGGGGTGAGGGTTTAGCCTCCAGCCAAATGCATATGGCGCTGATACCTGAGTCCTGCACCCAGGGACTCCGTAACTGTGGACTGGACACTGAGAACTTTAGCTCTCTGTAACAGTACAGTGTGTCCAGCATGTCAACCTATAGTGTGGACAATCCTTTTCCTAGTGAGGCAGTCAGAAGAGGGCACAACTACTGCTGGCCACTGCCGACAGCCCAGCCAGACTTGCCTGAGCAAAGACGGGGCTCCATGACAGGCACAGGCACTCAGGCCAGTCTTCTGTCCTCAAGGCAGTTCCATTCACGATGGGCTTTATCCCACAGACATTTAAGATGGGCGAAGGACGGCTTGAAAATTCTCAAATGGGACTGATGAATTTCTCATCGCTATAGTTCAAGTATTATCAGAGTGGGCTCAGTCTAGCAGGACCAGCTTCCTCTGGGAACTAGCTAGACATTCAGACTTTAGGCCTCTGAATAGGAAAGTCCAGGGGTAAGAACTGACAAGGCGGCTTTTCCTGATTGAACTTTTAGAAGTATTTGCTCAATAACTGCAGACCCATGGGCAACCGTAAGAAGTACTGCAGAGTGACCACACTGTCTTTTGCCCATCCCATCATGTAAAGCTATAATACGACTTAGAGGCCAGGACGCTGCTGATGATAAACCGCATCTGCAGACAGAATGTGCCCATCACCACAGGGGTCTTTGTGTTGCCCTCATGTAGCTGTGGCCACTTGGTCCTCACCCTCGTCCCAGGATCCAGCCCTGTCACCCGCTTCTCCAGTCTTGTCATTGCATAAATATTATGTAGTCCCGTGCATGCCTCTAATCCCAGCACTTGAGAGGCTGAGACAGAGGGATCCCTGTAAGTTCCAGGCCAGCTAGGGCTACATAGTGAGCTTGAGGCCAGTCTGAACTGCTTGAGGAGGTCATGTCTTGAAAAAAATTAATAATGTTATACAAATGGACCCATAGAGCATATACCCTGGTCTTCTGTTAATTTACCACAATCCCCTGAAGAGCCTTCCAGGTGACTGTGCATACTCATGCTTTCTCCTGTATGTTGCTGAGTCCTATTCCACATGACAGTTATTTACCCATGGGACAGCTCAGCTGCATTGCATAGGAAAACCAGCTTCTACCGAGGAACGGCATCATTCAGTACTGCAAACATAAACTAATAAAAATTTTGAAACCTGAACAAAATAAAAGAAAAAACATATAGTACTCTGTAGCCTGCTTTTCACTGTGAAGTACCTCCCAGTTACTGTTTTAGGAAGTAGGAAAGCAGAGGAAAAGGTACACAGACCCTGCTCCCAACTATCTTTCTCTCCAGTGCTGCTCCGCAAGGCAGGAAAGAAATGCACTCTTAGGAAATAAATAGGTGAAAACTTAATCTAGGAATAAGAAGAAAGCCAGATGAAGGTTACAGACCAGGAAACACTGGGAGTGGGAGCCCAGGTGAGAGCTGATGGGGATAATTAAGACAAGGCTGTGGTGGTGTTTGTGGGGAGGCAGGGCAGACAGAATTGGATGTATTCTAAAGACAGAGCAGACATGGCCTGTGAGAAAAAGAAGACTCTGACATGATTCTCAGATGTGAAGCCTAAAATCATCGGTTAATGGGTTGTCATTTAATGTCATAAATCCTGACTGGAAAGCCAGTTAGTATGCTGAAATTAAGGGTGCTGAGTTGGCCAAGCCACGCTGGATATCATCTAGATAAGATCTGAATACACCAGTAACTATGGAAATAAAGACTGTATGTGAAGGAAGTTGTGCTTTGGTTTAAAAAAGGACATAGGAAACATTATTTATAATAGAGAAACGTTATAAGAATGTACTCAGATATGAAGTATTATTATTACTCTTTGGAAAAAACAAAACCATAGTCTCCCCCCGCCCACCCCGCAGAGTCAGTCTGTTACTACGGAATCACATCACAGGTGATGTCACAATCTGACCTCTCAGGGGAGACCTAGGCCGAGCACAGAAGGCGAAATGGAGCTGGGGAGGTAAAACCTGCATAACAACAAAGGAATTCCCGTACTTAAGAAATGAGTCAAACATCCGTGAAACAGAAAAAGAAGGTTAGTAAACTGAATGCCCTAGAATCTTACAAAGGAGCCTAGGAAATACACACATCGGTCTAGCCTTTACTTCTGTAATGCTGGGCAGACAGTAGTAACAGTTCAGGTAATGGTGATATGTAGAGGGACACAGATGAGGAGCTAAAGTAGTGAAAAATAGATGAACGTGTGTAGTGTAAGTCAATCCAACAACCTCGCAGTTATTGAGCAATACACCCATGTTAGTGGTAAAAGGACAAGCTCAGAGGCCTGCTGAGGTGCAGCCTTGGACAGAGGGCAGACACAAGAGACATAGAGAGATGTGCAAGTGCGCTGAGTTTTGGACATGGTCGGGGAAGAGGTGGTTTCAAGGCTGTGAAGGTGGCACTTGGGCAAGCCATGTCACTTGACAGAAAGAGGTGTACGTATAAACAGGAGGCAGGCAGGAGTAAGTCGCAAAAGCCCCGCTCCGCTCAGCGGTGGCAAGCCTACTGCAATGTTTTTCTTTGAAAACAAAAGATTTAATTTTGTGGAGGTTTTTTGTTTTGTTTTTTCCTGAATTAAAACCTCCATATTCTAGTTTAATTTGTGATGATAAGTGGGTTTTGGATTGCACCTTGGGCATTCTGTCTCTAAAATTTTCGTCATCCTGGCCCTAGTCTGTCAGATCAAGGAAATAAAAAGCCTAACTAAATTTACATTTTATAACACAGTAGGCAGACCCAGAAGTAAGCAGGATTCAAGGCTTGGCGTGATCAAAACGCTACATCTAAAGCTGAGTACTAAGTGCTGGATCAAGGCATTGAGAAGCATGGAGGAGAAGAAGTAGATTTAGGGTGTCTTTTGGAGTGAGCAGTGACAGATTATCAGGGTGATGGGTATGGCGAGTGTGGAGGGGTGCTGGAAATGTCCTCCAGTCAGTCCAGCAACCAAGTCACTCTCTGCAATCCCATTCTCATATGGCTAACACTGCTGAGCTGTTTGGGTTATAGAGCATAAATGGGTGAAAGAACATGGCTCTGAGAGGACTTTGGTCTGACCTGAACACTGAGCTCCTTAAACAGAAAACATTAAACCACGTGTGCTGGCGTACACCTGTAATTCCAGGGGTTAGGGCTGAGGCAGGAGGATCCTGAGTTTGAGATCAACCTGGGCTACCCAGTGAGCTCGAGGCCAGCCTGAACTACATAGTAAAGACCCTTTTTCAAAAACTCAAACTAGCTACGTAAATAAATAAGGATAGCACCAACTGAATCACACAGATGCTACTGAGTCAGAAATAGTGCTTCCATGAACTAAGGGTCTGCTCCATTAAAACTGGAAAAAACTGAATAGCTTTCCACACAGAAGTCACAGAGTCTCCTATTCAGTTTTCCGTACAAGCCCCTCTTTGGTCTGGATACTGAGAGTAATCTGATGTAAGAATAGAAGCCAGGTCCGCCAGGAGGACCGGGCTCCTTGCTTTAAAGAATCAGACTCATGCTAGTGAGGCCCGGGTACTGGGGACACCAAGGTTGTGATGACCAGGAAAACAGACAGAAACAGCTATGATTCTATGACAGCAGTTCCATAAGGAACAATCTTCAGAGCAATGGACAAAATAAAATTTATTCTGTGTAAACAACTTCACATTTAATGCTAAGTCATGCTGAGCCCTGGAAAATTCTCCAGTAGTATTTCTTCCGTTATCATTTCTAAATGATAAATGCTTCCTGCCTTGAAACTATAAGCCAACATATTTAGATGAATTTTTTGCATAATTCTTGATTATAACTTTTTTTAACTTGTTAGGAGAGAAAAAGTCTAAAGTTTATTTACAATATAGACAAAAAGACAAATTCTAGATTTACCCTTTTATTCCCAGACTCAAGCTTTCTGATGCCCTTGAGATTAGACATGAACAAACACCCTTTGTTTCCATATTAAGAATGATCCTGGGACGCGATACTCTAAAGAGAGCATAGACTCAGAAAAAAGACGGGAATCTGAGAAACCGGGCAGCCGTGTGGGCAGTCAGGTGAGCCGACCTTCTGTGCAGCTGTGGTGAGCGAATTACAGAGCAGAGGGCACCCTAAAAATGCCCGGGGATGGGGACTCATTGCGACCTGCACTGGGTACAGTTGTGTCCTGAGGAGGAGGGTAAGGGACCGTGGGGAAGCCCCTCCAGTCCACAGCCCTGGTTTCTACAGCGTCAGCAGCATAGAAGCAGGCCCAGGTCCCCTCCGCCTGGGTGCAGACCAGGGCGGGAGGGGAATCCAGCCTTCGCACTGACCGTTTTCTGCACAATCTTTCAGATGAGGCATGCAGGCAATCCGAGTCACTGGCTGAGATGTTGCCCCACGCGGGGTCACCTGTCGTGTAGACGCTGCCTCTGTGCAGCTGGGGGAGCTGGCCCCTACCGCATGGCACGTGTGTATATTCACACGCGCCTTTGGTGGGAGCAGGGCCAGCCGATCTCCATGATCAGGGTGAGCAGACTGCAGGGCTGACTGGGAGGGTAGCCACAGGCCCCCCGGGAGGGAGAGGACATGGGCATGGAAACTCCTTCACTTCCTCCCATGACCTCTGAGAGGGTGCAGAACCTTGCAGTCTGCCACAGTGCGGTCAGGGCCAGCAGCCACTCCTCTGCAGTCTGGTGAGCGTGACAGGTCTTTATCTCTGTGAATAAGCTCATCCTTGAGGCAGGACATAGGCCCAGGGAGGAGATGGTCCGCCATAATGATGTCTAGAGAAGAACCACAGGTGCAAAAACACGAGCTGCCACACTTGGTTTTTGGTTTTGGATGTTCTAGGAGAGTCCCCACTTTGTTTCTTCTCATGGAAGTTAGGTTCCGGCCAGAATCAGAGGGGCACACGAGGTCTGAGGCTAAACTAAGGACCTAAGAGGCCAGAGGCCTTTGCATAGTGGCTGTCGCTGCTTCCCCTGGCCTGGCCACTGCAAGAAAGGCACATGCGGGATGGCGTGGGTGCTGGGAATTATACCCCAGATGTCTTCTCTCCTCGACAGGAATCCCAAGAATCACCTGTCCAGAAGACCAACTCTCGAGGGCAACTTCCGCAACAACAGTGGTCCCGCACATCAGGAAGCCCACCCGATAGGCCTGCAGCAGAGGAGTCCAAAAGCAAGAACAACAGTCCTAAGGTAGTACTAGCGGTGACAGGAGGAGAGGGTGCGAGACGATGGGGTGCCAGGCCCCCCTCCAAGCACCAGCCTTGTCTGACACACGCCCCAGTGTGAGAGCTTCCAGCTAAGCCTCATCTCCCCACCGAGAAAGCTGAGGCGCAGCCCCGCCCAGCGCTGCACACTGACAGCTGCTCAGCCTTGTGCCCCAGCTCTGTAGGTCTAGGCGCTGGGCAAGGTCTCCTGCCTCCTTTTTTACCCTTCAGCCAACGCTAACCCTGGCTTTTGGAGGAGGCATGGCGAGGTCCACACAAAACAGCACTTGGATCGCATGCAGACGCAGAGAGGGCATCCCGCAGAGGGTGGGGGAGAAGAGGGATTCACAGGTGACGCGTCCATCCCAGCCAGGGCTGCCCAATCATCGCACCACGAGTGTCTCTGCAATGACAAGGGAAATAACCCTGAAAACAGAAGCGCAGCATTGCGCGTGGTGGTGACTCCCTGCAGGCTTTAGCGAAGGCCCTTGCTGTAGAACGGCTCCTTCCACTTGGGCAGCTCCTCCCCTCCTGCTCTGCTGGAGCAGGGCCATGCCCAGGCGAGCCCCTCCAAGACCCCAATCCATCCTGGCTCCTCTCCTCCCGCCCAGCACCCCTCCAGCTCCACGACCTCCCGGACATCCTCGGCCTCACCAAGCCATCACGAGGAGTCACCTCCGCCCCCTCTGTCCACGCAGCCCTCGCCGCTAGTGCCCACCGCGCCAACGTCCACCCCCGCGATCACGCCTCCTCTCGACTCGAGGTCCCTCACTGCCTCGGAATTCGACCCCCCCGGGCGCGGCAAGATGTATGACAACCCGGAGGCCTGGGCGCAAGGCATCGTGCGCGATGTCCGCGAGTCCCGCGAGTCCCGCGACTCGCGCCCGCCACCCCGCGAGTCCCGAGAGTCCAGGGACACGCGCCCGCCGCCCCGCGAGTCCAGAGAGTCCCGCGACACGCGCCAACCACCCCGCGAGTGCCGCGAGTCCCGCGACACGCGCCCGCCGCCCCGCGAGTACCCGGGGACGCAGCCCACCGAGTGGCGCGCGTATGGCCAGCGCCACGCGCAAGGCCCGGGCTCCATCTCGCTGGACCAGGACTGCCTGTCCGAGCTGCAGCCCCGGCCGCCCAGGTCCCACATGTCCTGCGGGGCCGAGCCGCCGCCGCCGCCGGCGGAGACGGAGCAGGAGGCCGAGGAGGAGGAGACCGAGGAGGCCTACTGGTCCTCGGTGAAGAAGCTGTACGAGAAGATCCCCAGCTGCGCGCGCCCGCGGCCGGTGAGCGCGCCTGCCCTGGGGTGTCGGGGCGGGGGGGAGGGGGAGGTGGGTCTGCTGGCCCACTGGAGCTGGGCTCGTCCTCGCTCCGCTCCTGACCTGTCCCTTGGTGGTCCTCCTCCCTGTCCTCTGCAGCCCAAGCCCAAGCATGCCATCACCATCGCAGTCTCCTCCCGGGCCCTGTTCAACATGGTGGATGACAGGCGAATCTACGAGCAGGAAGGTCTGGAGAAGTACATGGAGTACCAGCTCACCAACGAGAACGTGGTCCTCTCCCCGGGGCCCGCCTTCCGCTTTGTCAAGGTGCTTGACGTCCTGGTCCTCCTCCTCTTCCTCCCTCCTCCCCTCTTCCCTTCTTTCTCCTCCTGGTTCGCCCTCCTCCGCGTCCAAGCTGTCCACCGCGGGCCCTGGCTGGCCAAAGGGACCCTGGCCAACCCTGAGAGCAGTGCAGCCACCTGTTCTGATAATTCCTGGGTGACTCTGGCCGTCCTTGCACCCTGTTAGGTGTGCTTTCCTGGAGACTGCTCCGGAAGGGCCGTCACCACAGCCCCAGATTTGGGGTGTAGGCCTCCCTTAGCGGAACTGTGGTCCTTAGACCTGAGTGAAAGCCTCTGCTCTCACCCTTGAAGATGTGCAAAGAAACAGCCATGAGTTTACCATCTTGGGTATTAGAGATGGTAGGCCTTACCGAAACAGGATGAACTTGGTAGCAGACTAAGAAAATTTAAGCTACCATTAGGGACATGGATCTTTCTGAACCATGTTTCCCTTCTAACCAAACCCCTCCCTCATACACAATCGTTATACTTTAACATCAGAACCATGAAAAAATTACCGACACCTCTGAAAGTCCTGAGGCAGAAGTACTTGTGGGACGTGGCAGAAGCGTGACAGGAAACCACAAAGCAATTTCCAGGAACCAACGTTTACGATGTCAGCAGAGTGCTCCCCTCTGCAGCACCTATGCTGAGAGACTGGGAGGACGGGGATCGTGACCAGGGTGGCGCAGTGCCATGATATGTGCATTTCTGAAGCAGTCCCCGTTTCTGACAAATGATCATCAGATGATCAATAAAGGCAGACTTTACAAATAAAAGCAAACAGAACCTGGAAGGGCTAGTGTCGTCCTTCTCGGTACCTCCTTCCTTGAGATAAGTCTAGTAAACTGAAGGGCTCCTTTCAGACAGGGCTGGCCCCCCAGCTCCACACTCTGCCCACTTCAGGGGACCTGGGATCCCTGCAGAGTGTGGGACTGAGGGGCCAGCCCTCTCTGAAAGGAGCCTGGTGTCCGAGTGGACTCCTTGAGCTCCATCTTCCCCTAGGAGGCGCTGCCCAGCAGCCTCCCGGCCCACCTTGGGTCCCTCTTCACACCCCTCTTGTTTGTAACCCACAGGCCCTGCATCATGTCAATGCTAGACTGCGTGATCTGTACCCTAATGAACAGGACTTATTTGATGTTGTACTGATGACTAATAACCATGCCCAAGTGGGAGTGAGGCTTATAAACAGCGTCAATCACTACGGTAAGTAAAATAAATACCATGTGGAAGGCCAGCCTGCAGCTCTGGAAGAGAGAAGCCATGTTATTTTGCTAACTGTGGCCTAAGCAATGCAGCGTCTTTGATACTGACACCCCTTCCGCGTGTGGAATGTTTATTTGCCTATGTCAGGACAAGAAAGGCCATGTTCATTTTTAACTTCAGCACACAGTTGGGCTCAAAGCTCTGGATTTAACTTGTCAAGTGTGAGTTTCAAAGTCTTAATCCCAGGTCCTGCCATATATTTCTCTGTTTTATGTTTTTCACTTCTGAACTTGACTTCAAGGAGCTGTCAACCCAGAGGCTTTCTCTGTGTGATCAAACTTCCTGCTCACCGCAGATCCATGTTAAGGGTTTAAAGGTTTTCACCGCTCCTTCCACTCTTAAAATCTGATTCTCCCAGCTGCCCTCTCCCACACATCAAATCTTTGCTCATGCCAGGAAAACTGTCTTATTGCTTTACATGGAAAATTTGATTGACTCTATCTCCAGAGCATTTCCACCAGTGTGCTACTTTTTCTTAAAGTTTTCATTTTTCTACTATGAGATGCTTGACTTGTTATTTAGGACACAGGCATTCTAAGTGACAGACCCAGTCTTTTGGATATGTGACACCAAAATCAGGTTTGAATAATGCACATTTCAATTGACTGTATTTGTAAATAATCAAACTATCTTATGAGCTGCTATGTTTTGATTTTGTACGATTTTAATTATAAGGCTGGTTCCTTACAAAAATATACTTCTAATGATTTTACTTTTTAAAAATATAGCTTTGTAGTGTTATAAAGTCAAAGCAGAATATGTGTACAAAAGACTGAGCATAGCTGAGTATCACATGATAATTGCCCTACAAGTGAAACTTGTTACTTTAAAGACACAGATTCTTACGTATGTCTATCCTGTAGCGTGATCAGAGCTTTGAGGCTGGGCATCTACAGAGTCAGTTGTTTGACTCTGAATCCTCCCCCATGAGCACAGCTCTCTTTATAGATTAACAGCCTTTCTCCCAGAAGAGTTATTTCCCTTTTCTGGGTGCTGAAGGGAATTTGTAACTCCCTCTGCTGTGGCCTTTGTTATGTTATAATTAACTCTTTACATGTTTAACTTCTCCATGCACTATGATCTCCTTGAGAAGGGGGACACTGTTTTAATTATTTCTGAGGTCCTAGTGTCATCAAGTATTTTCAGGATCATTAAAATAGTAATCCAGGATGTACGGTCTACTTCTGTATCACACATGGCCAACACTGGCTTAAGTGAACAGTGAGAGTATTTTGTTAACACCACTGCACACACACCCTCCTCTACTTGTCCGTGGCTCCTCCTTACTTCCTTGGCCCAAACCAGCATTGTGAACAAGTGATCCCACTCAGTTGTCCATGTATATCATGTATAACTACCCAGTTTACCATAGATAGATACATAGATAGATAGATAGATAGATAGATAGAGATCGATCAATATCTGGAAAAGTCTTTGATTAGATACAGAATATTTTATCAATCTGTTCTCATCACATGGAACATGTTTTGCTATGCTCATTTTGCATAAATATCAGTTTTACTTCTTTAGGATAAATAGCTAAAAACAAATGAGTCCTAGGTCAAAAGATAAAACCTCTAAAAAATCTTGACATATATTGTCAAACTACTTCCTAGACAATTGGTAGCCATTTATGTTTTCATCTGTGACATATGTGGGTGTCTATTTTACAAACTTCTTATTGGCAACCCATGTATTTTTGATTGCTGTTGATTTGAAAGGCTCTCAGCAATATTCAAATACTGATTCTGCTGATGATATTAACATTTTCAATTCAGAAAAGTTACAGTTTTAGATATTTTATTGTTTTTTAAAAATAGTTCAATTCCTATCACTACTTTTTATTGTGTAGTTACTGAAGTAATACAAAAAAAATCATACAGCCACACTTTAACACCATTTCAGCAAGTGAGAAGGCACCCTGCTCCAGTCCAGATAGGAAGCAGATGCATGGGCTCAGGTGTGCCCTGTAGGTGAGAACCAGAGTGCCTGACAGATCTTTCTGGGTCAGAGCCTGGCTCTGCAGTGGGTACAAACCTGCCACGGAGTGGTTGAGAGGAACTAGCATGGACTGTGTGAACACATGCATACCCTGGAATTCACTAGACCCCCACCCTGGTATGTGCAGTACCTGAGGATCTCTTCAGTACCGATGCGATGAAAGTGATTCTGGTACTTCAACTCTTTCTAAGGGGACTTTCACTTAGATTTACACATGAACTCACTTGGATATAAAAACACACTCGGTATTCCTAAATTAACTTTGTTTAGGATTCACAGTGTTTTGCCTTTAATCTCAGCCATGACAGAGTCTCTCTTTCCTGACAATAGGGTTATTCATTGACCGCTTCTGTTTGACTGGTGGGAAGAGCCCCATTGGCTATTTGAAAGCATATCTTACCAACTTGTATCTTTCCGCGGATTCTGAAAAAGTACAAGAGGCAATACAAGAAGGTATTAATCTGGTTTTATCCTTGCAGCTAGTAACAGGGTCTGCACTAATGGCTGCTTACCTTAGGTTTCCTGTAGGATTATGTGGGTTATGTTCTGTGTGTTCTGGTCTGGTGTCTGCACAGGTGGCAGCCCTGAGGTTTGACCTTCCTGGGGGGGGGGCATCCATCATGATTGTCCTGCAGCCCATCTAGCAGTCCTATCCCTTAGGAGGCAGAGACACTGATAGAAATCTGGGGTGTGTGGTGGTGCCCAGGAGTTCCTTTATCCATTAACAGCTCAGCAGCAGCATTGAGGGTGGGGAGAGCTTTAGTTTGTTTTAAATAGAAGAAACTAAAACCCATGGCTCTGAGATGAGGATGAATCAGTCCCCCTGATCACTCAGGAATTGCCTCTGCGACAATGTTTGATGGAGCCAGAGACATGGCTTACTGTGACACCCAGCTCCGCGTGGCCTTTGATGGAGACGCCGTCCTCTTCTCAGATGAGTCTGAGCATATTGCCAAGGAGCATGGGCTGGACAAATTCTTCCAACATGAAAGCATGTTTGAGAACAAGCCTCTGGCTCAGGTAGGTTCCAAAAGCTCTTAATTTTGATTTACCTATTTTCCAACATATAGATACTAGCTCTTTATGCTGGATTCTGAAATTATTTTAGGAATGCATCTCCTCACTATCTTGTCTTTGAAGTTTTAATTCTATCATTCATGAATTCCTTAGAAGCATTTGTTGCCAACAGCTTTTGGAAAATAATTCTGTAACTGTCCTTCCCGTAATAATGAGTATATTTCCTCCAAATTATGAGTAGCAGAGCTGACACAGCTTACTAATCAGCTATTTTATGATTATTGGTTCTCCATATAGTAAGGTCATTTCCAATAGTTTTAGTAATCGTTAGTAGGATTTCTCGGTCCTTAACCACAAAGTCAAGAAAGATGTGGTATAATTGAGGAAGTCTGAAAATTCAGAGCTTGACTCTGAATCACATAATGAGCCTCAAATAAACACAACTATGACCACCTAATCAGATTGAAAGTAAATATTTAGCTTTTTTGGGATACACCTATGTATTGCAGTATTAAAATCAAGGTCTAAAATGAATGAATCCTAAAGCTTCTGAACCAAAGGAAATTTGAAATGTCAACAACGTTCTCCACACAGAATCTGAACTGGTGGATCACTTATCTTTATTCTATGAATCTTCCCAGTGATTGTCTCAGGTTCTATGCTCTGTAGCTGCCCTTTGATCTGAGCTCTCTGATGGATTCAAAAGAAGTAATGGCTGTTTCAGATTGTCTAGGTGTTCTTGTCACTAGGTTTGGAGTAATATTTTTAAAACTTTCTACATCTCTGGCAGATTGCAAATGTTCAAATTACATTCCATCATACATTTCAGTGACTTTCCTAATATTTCCTTATTTTATTTATAAAGTACATACTTTTACTAATGTACAAATATATAAAGTGTAAAATATAAGAAAAATAGATAAGAGGATGGGATGGCTTCCTAGTCTGAATGTAATGACATAAATTCAGTACTCTCCATTTCTCCCTATTGGAAAGTACTCACATGCAACAAGAACTATATCCCTTGTATTTCAGAAACAAACTGTGACCAGGGTGGCTTGAGCTAACAATCACTACAACAACTTTGCCAGTATTACCACAAAAAAACTTACAATTTTGCACTGATATGTATACTTCTCACTTTCAGAAAGTAAATTTACTTGCTTTTTCTGACATTTACACTTCAGAGAAAGCAGAAACAAATGTTTACACAAGAACTATGTCTTCACTCAGCAGTCTGTGTTCATGATATCAGACAAAAAGTCTCCGAAATGTGAAAACAAGCAAATCTTCTAATACCCTTCGCCTACCCAGACATGAACCGTCCCAAGGAAAAGCAGGCTAAGCCAATAAAATTGATTTTAAAAGGAGCAGCATCAAACATATGCAAAGCGGCTAGGACAAAAAGACAAAAGAAAGAAATAATATAACAAGTGAAGAACCCTCATAAGTTCCACCATATAAGTAACGATTGTGGCTACATATTTATGTAGCTATAGTAGAATCAGAAACACAGAAATGGAATTATCAAAGAATATATGACAAATTGTGAAGTGATAAAATGTTAGAAATGAGAATTTAAAATAATATTTTAGAGAGAAAAAAATGACAAAAGTAGATCTTAAGAAAAATCAACATATGTATAAGTGGAATTTGTGAAAAAAAGAAAACATTAAAATTATGTTGGTGGGGTGGGGTTACATATAAAGAAGCACGTTTATATAAAAATACACAGCAGGGAAATATCCTTGAATCATCAGGAAACTTTAATGCCTATTAAAGAATTAAATTATTGTTAACTTAAAGGCCCACATTGTGTGATGGGGGAAAAAGCCAGAATGGTAATCACTGAGATTATGGCAGATTGAAACTATTTTGACTTCAAAGATGAACAATTCTTTGGGCTGCCTTCCAGAAAAAAATCATCACCATAAATGGTAGGTAGATGCTGGGGTATCAAGCTCCCTTCAAGCTTCTAAAGAGATTCACTTAATGGCAGAAGATGATTTATAAGATATTATGGAGAAAAACAATCAAGTTTTTCTTGTCTATCATCAAGTGAAGATGAAATAGTTCTACACTTATGAGCACTGTACGCAGGCCAACCTCAGGATGATGGGTGCCCTAAGGTACTCTGGGCATAGGATATATTGACAAGATTTAATACTAAAAGAGCTAAAAGACCAGAGAAACGGGGAAAAAAATTCAAATACTGTGTATTAACAAAGCAAAAGTTATAGAGCTAATAAAAACGGGATAGTGTGGTGTGAAACAGTCTATCTATGCTGCTATCTTCAGTCACAGTAGCCAAAGATTAAATGTAAGGATAAAACTGCGCATTTGATCAATAAAAAGTATAGGCTGTTTAATAATGTATATGTAAATACAAGGGGATACTAGGTGACAAAAAATAGAGCATGTTGAAGTCAGGAGCAGAGAGATGGCCAATTAACCCTTATTTCTTCATTTCTCATTGTAACAGATAACAGACTCACAGTTTCACAGACCAGAGATGTGTGGGTACCATAAAAGGTTATAGTCATAAAGATAACCAGTAGAAGGAAATAACACAAGGTTTCTTAATAAAAATAAAAACACAGAACCAATGTCAAGTGTATTTGAAATAGGAATAAATGTAAATATGCCAAAAGTTAACTTATTTAAAAATAAATTTTTTTGTATTGGCTTACATAGCAAGATCCAATTTTCTGTTGTACAACAAGGGATACAACTAAGTATTTAGAAAGGTTGAAAAAGGAAGAAAGCAAGAAGATATATAAAGATCTGTAAATGTGAAAACAGAGCGGTAGAGTTAGCACAGGAGTATACTTTCACAGCTGAAATGTAAAAATGTAGAAAGTTTTAAAAGTAGTACTTTTGACAACCAACTGGAGTTTGTTAAGAGTGAGCATCTTTCTGTGGATAGTTTACATCCAGGGTCCTTAATTGTTTATAGAACATCCTTTCACACTTAAAATATCTTGGCTTAGTTGACAAATTACAGGATCGTCTTGGGTTTATTCCAGGAATGCAAGGACAGGTGCGTATCCTAAAATACACTCACATAAACCCAAAGAGGTTTACAATTGTGTTGAAGCCAGCTCACACTGCATGCCACACAGGAGTACGTATTTATTAAGTTCTTAAAAGCCTCTGGTTTTTCAGTGGTTGTTTCCTTCCACTTATTCAGTGGTCACTTCCCTTCACTCATCGAGTGACATGTGTTCCATTTGTAGGGTCCTCTGAAAGGCTTTCTGGAAGATTTGGGCCGACTGCAAAAGAAGTTTTATGCCAAAGATGAAAGGTTGCTTTGTCCCATCAGGACCTACTTGGTTACAGCCAGAAGCGCAGCCAGCTCCGGCGCCCGTGTGCTGAAGACCCTCCGCCGGTGGGGCCTGGAGATAGACGAAGCTCTCTTCCTTGCTGGAGCCCCCAAGGGTCCAATCCTGGTGAAAATCAGGCCCCACATCTTCTTTGATGATCACATGTTCCACATTGAAGGGGCACAGAAATTTGGCACCATCACAGCTCATGTACCTTATGGCATCAGTCAAAAATACACTGGTTAGGGATAGAATGAACCAAACCATGACAGTCTAGGACAATAGAGGACGCCTCTTTTGGACATCTAGGGTAATTAGGTATTTCAAAAGACTGGACCTCAGCTTAGCTTCTTTGTAAAGGTTTTCTCTTCACTTCTTCGAAAACATTTGAACTCGAAGTTACCTTCAAAATACTTCTCTTCAAGCAGTCAACACTGTTGAATGTCACTGCACCTATTTCTGTGTAAGGCATAATCATTGTTTGGGATGTTTCCAGTTTGAATATTTGAGAGCTAACGGGCTGTTTCAGAAGCTTGCTTGGTTTCACAATGTATGGCTCCTTTTCTGGGTGGAGATGGAATGGATTGTTAGCCATCATCTATAAGAGTGGTCTTCACGAGTGAGTGAGTATGGCTAAGTTCACTCTTGGAAATGAGAATGTCAGTTCACCTGGATTTGGATGGTGCACATCTGGAAATCAGTTAATTTTTCCCACAGGGCACATTCTAAAATGGCCTTACACAAAACCAAGAAAGGTCCTTCGAAACTTCCTTGGTGGGTTAATTGCTTGGGGATCACAGACTTAATTCTTTAAGTCTCTCACGTTGAGCCTACAGACTGACCCAATACTTGCATGGTAAAAAAGTAAAAGAAAAAAAAAAAGAACTAAACACCTGATGATGTGAAGTGTAGTATTTTTGGCTTCTCATTGTCATTTCATTGTGACTTTTTGTCGTCATTTTGTTTTATTTTTAACAAATCTTGTTGTTGACCATAGTATGCCCTATGCTGGATACTGGTTAATAATTTTCACATTACTTCGTTTTCTTATCAAATTAAATATTTTCAATATAGGATTATTATTACTGTCCTTTTTAATTGAGGAATTAAATTCAGGGAAATTAAGATTCAAATCTATTTAGTAGCTTGTCCAAGAATGTGAAGACAAGAAATTGAAGGGACAAAAATTCAAATTCAGTTCGTACTACAAAAGCAACATGTACCTCATTCCTGTCTGTCACTTAGACTGCCTTCCCTCAGAGGTGCTGCCTTTAGACCATTCTGAAGCAGCTTAGTCGTTCCAATTAAGGTCACCATGTCAGCTGAACAGCAGAAACGCAGCAGATCTAAAACTTTCCTCCCGCCTCCTGCCTTCACGTTCTCTATGGCTCTCATACCCCTACCTCCATCTCTACCCAGCCTGTACATACCACTCCTGGCTGTCGTTGTGAGAAGACCAAACTGGACACACATCTTTTGTCCAGTTCTGTCCCCTAATTTGATGTAACCCAGTCTAAAACATTGTCACGATGCTTCTCCTGTATTCTTCCAGTGTTAGTAAGATCATTTGAGGATAATTTTTCCTGTGAAGACCATGACCATATCTTCTTCAGTGGCCACTTAACTGTAACTTGGGAGCGACACCTGGAAGCTGTCAGAGGTGCAGATTCGCCACCCTGCCCCACACCTTCTCAAGCAGGAACCTTCAGACTGGACCTTGAATATGTTTTCCTTCTGTACCCCAACCCCTCCAGGTCCTTCTGATAGGACCTAAAGTTTGCGATCCACCAAAGCACACTTTTCCAGCAGATTCACAGTTAAACTCTTAAGGCTCATCCTCAGGGTCCAAGTACAGGCCTTCCTCCAAGAGGCGAAGGTGCTCTGCACTAAGGCAGCACTTGTAATTCAGCCTATGAATAGATGTGTAAATTTAAGGGTTCATGAGGTATCCCACAGGGATGGTCTCCTCTGCGCAGGGTGCAGCAGGCTCCGCCTCCTTACCCAGCTGCAGAGCAGGTCTCCTTAGGGCCCTGGGGTCTAGCAACTGATTCCAGACTACAAGTCCCGGCAAGCCGCGCGAGCACCGCCGGCCGCCCCAGAGTTCCCCGCGCTGCCGGCCGGCTGGAACCGTACGGGGTGTGTGAGCCGCTGGCCCGGAAGGCGATGGCCGTGGCTACCACTGCGGCGCTCCTGGCTGCCCTGGGCGGGTCGCTCTGGCTGCTCGTCCGACGGTTCGTGGGGCGCGAAGTGCTGCGGCTACACGGAGGCGGGGACGCCGACCTCATGCGCGGGAAGACGGTGTTGATCACCGGCGCCAACAGCGGCCTGGGCCGCGCCACGGCGGCCGAGCTGCTGCGCCTGGGCGCGCGGGTGATCATGGGCTGCCGCGACCGCGCACGCGCCGAGGAGGCGGCCGGGCAGCTGCGCCGCGAGCTCGGCGGGCCGGGGGCGGACGACGCCGCCGGGGCCGGCCCGGGCGAGCTGGTCGTCAGGGAGCTGGACCTCGCCTCGCTGCGCTCGGTGCGCGCCTTCTGCCGGCAGCTGCTGCAGGTGGGCCGCCGAGGCCGGTGTCCGGGAGGGACCCAGCAGGGGAGGGCGGGCGCCGGGCCCCGGCCGCGGGGCGAGCCCCGCACCAGCCTCCCGCGTGCTGCTGTTGTAGAGCGAGCTGTGCAGCCCGCGCCCCGCCCCAGCCGGGCGGGACCTCACCGCCTTCGCTCGCTTTCCCTTCCGCGCGGGTGGGGCGTGGCGCTTGCTACCGCGCCACCCCTAGCCTGCTTTTGGCCTGTTTTCCCAAAGGCCAGAGTTTGCAGTCTTGGTGATCGAGCTCCAAACCCTGAAGAGAGACGGAATGCCCGTCATTAGTGAACATTCCCTGTGTGCCAAGCATTTCAGATACATTTTTGAGTTTTAAGTGAAATTAAATACCTTTGACTGTTGTCATCTAGTCTTCACAGTAACCCTGTGAGGCAGACATTACTATTTCCATTTTATAACTGAGGAAATAGGCGTAAGAAGGCTAAGTATCTTTGGGGTCCATTGCTTTAGCCTCTGCACTGCACTCCTGTTGGGGAGCGGAGATGCTTTTGTGCAGATGGTAACTAGTATTCCACTCGTATGGAAACCCTGCGTGGAGACTGAGATCAGAGGGCTGCTTACAGAGATGACTTGGACATTGCACAGGAAAGGTGCCTGTATGAAATGGAATCTCTGAGCTTAACGAGAGATTCCCAGATTTTCTGTTTTTCATATCCTAAGCCAATAGAAATATCTACAAGTTCACTTATTAAATAATTAGTTCAAATGACCTATTAACTATTTCTTAACAGCTCAGTAACTACTTGAAAACATAATTCCGAGGGAAAAAAATACCTTTATTGTATTCTTAATCATAATTGCCAGTGTTAATGTGTGTCTACTGATCACTGCACCCCTTCATCCGGCCTAGGATGGAAGGAGGTGTGGCCACCCTTGTCTCATTGCTAAAAAGTGAGTTCTACAAAGAAATGACTCCGTTAGAGGAGGGCAAGATGTGAACCACCTGGCTCTGGCAATTCCTGAGATACTAAGCACCATCACCTTGCGTGATTTTAAAATGCTCCACAGTACTCTAGTAGGGGTTTGTGCTGCTGTGTCTCGCACATCGTGTTACAGTTGGAGGGCGCTGGCGTTTTTGTTCTTGTCGCCTGTATTTCATTATCAAATGTAGTAATCTGTAAGAAATTTTCGGAGCAATAGAAATGGATCTTCCTGTTTTTAATTAAAGTATAGGTGGGGCTGGGTATGCTTTTTATACCTGATATCTTTGCTAATTTGAGAACTGGAGACAGAGCAAATTAAAAAGTAGGAACCCAGAGTTGTCATTGCTTCTTATTTACCTTCCTGCCTGGCTCGGAAGTTCAGTAACTATAATTAGAAGGAAAAAATTGAAGTGTAGGCTTCCCACAGGTTGGCATTCTTGGTATTTATGGCCTTTATCTCTTAGAATTTAAAAAATAGTAAATGATAAAGTGTTAAAATAACGCAAGCCAAGCAAAGAATGATGGCTCAGAAATGATTAATTTAGGAAACCTTTCCAAAGGATTAGTGAGAAAGAACACTCCTTTCTTCCCCCCATGGGTGAATTCTTGCCTTCTTTTTGAAGTTGGCTATTGGAAAACCTAAAAGTTCTTACACAGGCCAGAATGAGAAATAGGTAATCTTCTGACAGGTAGGCTTTGATAAAAGTTGTGAAATTTAACACATTTTTCTTCTCACTTGTACTTGGCAAAAGGGCCAGTGACAAAAGGGCTTGAAATTTGCCCTGGAATTAATTTAATCATGAGTCATCGCTGGATCTTTCCATCTGGAATGTACACCTTTCTTCTCTTTCCAGCCAGAGGCATAGAGGAGCCAGAAAAGGGCTGGAGAAGACCAGCTTACATAATTTAAGGGATGAGAGGACTTCCCTGTGAGCGCTAAGTCTTAGGCCTTCTGTTTGTGAACAGTCAGAAGTCCAAAGTTCTGACTGCCAGTACCCTAAATGAAGGCCCATTGACGTGAAAGATGGTTTCCACATAGGAATGCGTGATGGAGGTTAAGGATTTGTTGATTATATACCCATTCCTTAGTCCTACCATTGTGAGCCTCGTATTTATGAGTCCCTGTTTCTTATGTTTTTATATTCCCGGAATTTTCACTTAGTTTTTTTTATTTTACTCATGAGGTTCTTTCCAGTGTCATGTTTGTATCCCTGAGTTTGCTTGTTGCTTATCGCAATTTTAAGGAAATGCCTTCTAAGGTATTGTTTTGTTTCCACAGTGCCTTTACATTTAGAGAAGCGCAATCAATAGAAAGCAACTTTAACCTCACCTCTGGAGTTGATACTAATATGTTTGGGAATAACCATCTTGACGTTTCTTCTGCTGCATGTGTTCTCTTGCTCACCTGCACACTAGCTATGTTTTAAAAAGCTCCACTTAGCCAAACTAGTTTTCTAATTAAGAGAAGATTATGCCTTAGTGTCTGACTTTTTTCATTGTGTCACTTAGTAGCTCTGTGACACTGGGCAGGACACTAGCCTCTGTGCTTTGGTTTGCTTATGGAGTTACTAGCAGTGTATAATGTTAAAGGCAAAGCAGAAGGCCACACCCCTGTTAAACATGAACTCTTTTTTCCACTTTCCTCTCAATTGAAATTTCTTAAAAGCTATTTTGTGGAATTTTAGTGTTTTGCAATAATTTCTGAAATTATAGCTGCATTTATTGTAATTTTGATATGATCTCAGGATTAACATGGTAACGTCCAAATTGCTATTTTCCAAGTTCACATGAATTTAAAGGGAGAAATCTGGAATCATTTGAACGCTTTATCCCAGTTTGCTGTTTCTCTGTTTTAAGAAAGATCTTAATCTGATCAGATTGCTAGCACCTAGGTACACATATTTGTAATCATCAGGTTGCAGAAGCGTAACACCAGAAATGGAGTTGCAGATACAGTTTCTGCATCTCTCAGCGACAGGTTTCTGTGAAGTATTTTCATATTATTTTAATAAGTGAGAAAAAGTAGCATGGAGTGAGATATGACTACCAGTTTGAGGAATAGCCTGCAGAGGAGTCCCTGCTCTGTACTGCAAAACAAACTGGCACTTTCAAGTAGCCCTTAAACCCATGGGCTAAGAACTGAAATGCTTTTAGTTTCAACTTTCCTTTTTATTAAAATGTATTTCCCATGAACAGAGAGCTTGCAGACACGCGTGCATAATGCTGCATTCTCTTTTTGATGTTTGAAGGAAGAGCCACGGCTGGATGTCTTGATCAATAACGCAGGGGTTTTCCAGTGTCCCTACATGAAGACAGAAGATGGGTTTGAAATGCAGTTTGGAGTGAACCACCTGGGCCACTTCCTTCTCACCAACCTTCTGCTTGGACTCCTCAAAAGTTCAGCTCCCAGCAGGATTGTGGTGGTTTCTTCCAAGCTTTATGCATATGGAGACATCAACTTCGAAGACTTAAACAGTGAACAAAGCTATAACAAACGTTTCTGTTACAGTCGGAGCAAACTGGCCAACATTCTTTTCACCAGAGAACTGGCCCGCCGCCTCGAAGGTACCAACGTCACTGTCAACGTGTTACACCCCGGTGTTGTGCGGACCAATCTCGGGAGGCACATCCACATCCCACTACTGGCCAAACCGCTTTACAACTTGGTGTCATGGGCTTTCTTCAAAACTCCGCTGGAAGGAGCCCAGACGTCCATCTATTTAGCCTCTTCGCCTGAGGTGGAAGGTGTATCGGGAAAGTACTTTGGAGATTGCAAGGAGGAAGAATTATTACCCAAAGCCATGGATGAGTCTGTAGCAAGAAAACTCTGGGATATTAGTGAAGTGATGGTTGGCATATTAAAGTAACCACGTAGTAAGAGCTGTTTACAAAAACACACATCAGGAATGGTGTGGATTGACGCTACTTGAAAAATTTTGGGTCTGTCTGTCATAGCACTGCTAGAGAATATGTTGACGTTTACTGTAAAGTTATTGTTGGACAATTTCAGCAAAGGTGTTTGAAATATAGCTGTAAATTTAATGAATTATACATGTTAAATATTAATTGGGTGAGTATAATTACAAATCTCATAACAAAGTAAGTATCTTGGAGGGTTACCGAATGACTGAGTTTCATGGCTACAGTGTTAAGTGTTTTCTCTGCAATGCTGATGCTTTTGTGGGGGTGATATGCCTGGTGTGTGCATCCAGTTCTTGACTTGGAATAAATATACTGATGCAGATTCTCGTGCATTTCTTCAGAAGTGTTACTGAGTGCAGTCTTCGTGTGTCATTAGCTTGCCTACACCTTACACACTGCTCCAAGAGGTAACACATCTCAAACCCAAATCTCTGTCATAGCCTTGTTTCATGACCTGTGATGGTTTTCAGTCGCCATAATGCTGGGTTTTCAGCCCTTCACCCCTTCAGCTATGGAGGTCTGTTTTCAAAAGGAATCTTTTATGCACATATAAAACAGATTGCAGCAAGGCTGTGGGGCTAGAGTGAAAAGGCTATTTCAAAGGGGTCTTTGTAGAATATAGTAATTTATAAACTACTGCTTCAAGGTCCTGAGCTGGCAGCAGACCTCTTTCGCCCTTCTGCAATAATGAAAAAATTCTCTCTGCACAATCCAACGTGGTAGACTAGAAACCTGTGGACACTGAACACTCGAAGTGTGTTTAGGACTGAACTCCTTATTTAATTTGTTTAGGTAGACATGTTCAGCGACTCACATCTTGGGTAGTGCGTCTCTAGTCCTGCCGTCAGATAGTCTCATCCTGCCTCCAGCCATGCACCACACAAAAGTCATTTCAGCACTCAGGAGGCTGAGGCAGGAGAAGTGCTGTGGATTTGAGGCCAGCCTGGGCTACATAGTGAGATCCTTTCACGAAAAACAAAAACAATGTGTACGTAGAGTTGTTTTTTCTAAACCACAGCCTTTGTGAGCTTTGGTATAAGTGGGTTTTGGATTGCAGTTTGGCGCTTGGTTGCCATCCTTGCCCTAGAGGTTCCCATGCACTGCTTTCTCCAGGATCTGTAGGCAGAAACAACTTTTTTTCTTTGCACTGTCTTGGTAATTTTGCTTCAAGTGCAGTAATTATTCATTCACTGACCCAATTAAGACAATTGGAACAATAATTCTGTAAGGAAAAAAGATGTGTTACCATTAATTTTTCTCCCAAGAATCAAAGTATAGTCCCTAACAGGGAGTAAAAAATTAAATAATGAATGAATGGTATGAATATAGGCAGTTGAGCCCAGACAATATTGTACATATCATAGTATCACCAGTATCTACCTTAAAGTTTTAGTTGTTTATCTTGCCATTTCTTAATCCTAGAAAAGGAATTACAGCCTGTGGATACAGAGGTCCATTGTGGCCATAGGCTAATCCTTGACTGGTTATTTTTAGGACAATTTGTAGTATCTGGTTACCAGTATCAATTCTTTTCAACAATGACACTTTTGGCAAGTCGCACAGGTGTGTTTTCTGTTAGAGCACTGTGCTCTGCACGTGAGACACTTCCTGTCGCAGGTGTGCCTGCAGGTGTAGTGGGTATAACTTCATGGTGCTCTTTGAAACATGTTTTCTTTAAAAAGTAATCCTACAAAAAGACCTGCCGAGCTTAGAAATATGGGCAGGAAGTAGACCAGCATGCAGCTTGGGAAAGTGGAAGCTAATAAATCTGTCCTACACCTTGCTTCATTAAAAAGGAGTTCCTTTTTCATTTTATACCATCTTTTCTGGCTGCATTTTGATATCTGATGTTTTGCAGGGGGTTTGGAGCTTTTTGAGCCTTTCAGAGTTCTTATTTGTGGCACCATAGTGAAACAGAGTTCATTAATTTATCATGATGGAAAACCAGAAACTGACCCGGAAACATCAACTATAAACATAAAGTAAGATGCCATTTGGAAGGTGTCCTCCCCACCGAGAGCCGGGAATGGCAGTCTGCCTGCTGGACTTTGATCATCACAGCTTTCGCCTCTCCTTTCTTCCTCCTGTTGACTCACTTCTAACCATTTTTCTGGGCAAAACAAAAAAAGAGCATTCCGTTACTTTGATTCTTTCATCTACCCTTGGCAAAATACTGGTAGAGAGGAGCCTGCCCCATGCCCTGTGGTGGCATAAGTGAATTGAAACTCTTATCTTCTCTGCTGATTCTTTCTGGGTTTTTTTTTTTTTTTTTTTTTTTTTTTTTTTTTTTTTTTGGTTTTTTAAAGCTGACTTCAGTTTCAAACACCTTGTTCCTACAAGAGTTTAGATTGCTGGGCCTTTGCCCCCACTCCACACGGAGCAATTATTTTATGTGGTGGCGATCTAGGCAGGGTTTGATTAGGAAAGCGATTTCACTTTTTAAACACCATCCCTAAATTAATTTTCCTGGTGTCAAGACATTGTCAAAGACATTGACCCTCTGAGCTGGTGTTTTTTGGCTTTATGTGTCTTTCCCCAGCACCCAATCACTACTATCAATACTAATAGGAACTGGGCATTAGTGATAGGTCAGTATTTAGGGGGAAACTACATTGTAAACCACAGATTAGCATACATATATTTTAAAGCCAGATTGCAAGTTTTAAAGCCTTGTGAGCCAGACACAGCACGCATTACATAGTCTTACATCCTGTGCATGGGAACTGCTCTTCCTCTGTAGGGTTGCTGCTGTTTTCCTGTATCAATTCTAATCTATGACTTTTCTTGCAGACTCATGACATTAGAGAGTGTATTTCTTAATCTGTCTTCAGCTATAGGTTCTGATGTGAGAAACAGCAGTTATCTGCCTGCAGCTTTCTCCCCCGAGAAACCTGCTGGCCTGGCCAGAGATCTGAGATCATCTATATTTGAATACATAATTAATTCCAAATGTCCTAAGGAACACCGAAGAGGACATGTTACTAATTACTGTTCAGGAGCTTGTTCCTCACAGACAGCTTCAGAAGTTCCACAACCCTCCTGTGGACAGTGGGGAGTTAAATTAGTTACAGGTTAACATGGAGGACGATATTTAATTACTAAAGGAAAGTGGAAAACAAGCTGCTTTATGTAGACAGAAGTTTTGTTAAGCCAGATGTTTAATCAAGTACAGTGGAATCTAAGCTGCCATCTCATGGACTTGCTGTGATAACTTCTTCTCCATTCTCTATAAATAAATACATAAACAAGTGAATACTGGCCCCCATAACGTGGACGGGCTACCAGTGGTGGCAGACCTGTGGCTCGTGTGCTGCCGTGGGCCGTATCACTGAAAGCTGTGAAAGGTTGGCCACCGCCGGAACTCAGCTGCCCACTGCTCCAGCACACCGTCCAGCCTTGACTCCCTTCTGCTCTGCTGTATACTTAGGAAGAGTGAGTTGTGTACCATTCATTGAGCAAATACTTGCTGAGTGCCTATCGTGTGGAAGCATTGACCTTGTGTCTGGGGTGGAGCAGCCAGTGGAGAAACTCGCCCCGGACTGTACGTTGTGTTAGCTGCAGTTGTTAGTAAGCATACTACAAGCTGCCAGGGGTTATGTTCCAAACTAACGGGACAAGGGAGCACAAAATTTCTGCAGAAGCTGAGCAATTTGCAACAATAAAGGCAAATCGCTATACATTTACTGTTGAATAAAGCTTCAAAATGTCACGTAGTAAAATTAAACATTGTGAAAAATAAAAGATGTTTTTATTTACTTTGCAAGTGACTTTAAACTTTGACCATTTTAATGACACAGAAGCTAGGAGTCATACACTATTTAAGTGAGTATAATATAAAAGGTGGAATTCCAAGGGTATATGCCCAAAAAATCAACAACGATGGCATTTAAACCCTTAACCTTAGATCAAAAAATAGGCCAATGAACCAGCATACCATGTTTTAAATTCAGATAACTTCTGTGCGGGACATAGGATTCATGCTAATGAGTTCCCTTTTAAGTCACTTCATGTAACCAGCCAATTTCAACTAAGGGTTTATATTTAAAACAGAGCTAAAACGTCAGAATTATTTCAGTTTGGAGGAACTGACAATACATGTTTTCTATGTAGTCATATTTTTCCAGAGACCTCTCATCTAAATTTGGGAATTATTTTATTTTTTTGAAATGTGTCAGTGTGCTGAGTTGATTGATACATGTGCTCTTGAAGTGTTTTTGCAGCTGGTCCTTAAGACTTAATTTCATTATCAGCTTTGCTTCTCTCTCCCTCATTTTCAAAGCCCCGCTAATTATGTTAAATAGGTAAGTTCCTGAATATTTTAAGAGCTATTTTTCACTGTGTCATTTTGTCTTGAGGAGTTGCCATGTTGTATATGATGTATTACGGCTCGGTCAGTCCAAAGTTCTGGGTATTTAAGTCTATTAAGAAACAACCACACAAAAAAAGAAAAATGCTGTCCCTACCTACCTTTGTAATTTCAGGCTTTAAGAAAGCACTTGTGCCTGCCCCGCCTTGGTGTACCTCACTGATTTGCAGAGCCAGGTGATGGTGCAGCTGCTGGCGGAACGCAGTCAGTTCTAAGCCCCTCTGATGCCTCCCGCATTTGGTGCCATGAGAGTGGCAAGGTGAGTATGTTACGTTCGAAATTGTAAACACTGCAAGGTTTTTATCTGTGCAGACCTACATAGACTTTGGCATTTTGAGTATGTCTTGAAATGGTATACATGGTTTGAGGACATCCTGCGCTGGGAGAAATACACACTCATTACTAGTCGGAGAAAAACACCAAGCCAGTTTCTGCCACCAACCCATGAAAGCACAGGAAATGGCTTCGTGTAGTAAGTGTCCCAGTCTAAGCGATCTGTTGACAGAAACAGGCTCTACCAGGGGTTTTGTGTTAATGTAATCAAACACTTCAGAGCAACAGCCCAGCAAGCTCAAGTCCACCCACCTCAGAGTTTATCTTTAGCTCATCTGGAAGAGTTTATTTTAAACACTGAACATTGTTTGCTGCTGTTGAAATGAAAGTGAGCGAGTTACAAGCTTTCTTCCAGTGCCATCTGGCAGACTTACTGATGGATCGGGTCCTTTAATCGTGTAACCCGGTGTGTGGGAGCGATGGTCCCTGTGTGGATCCTACAGCTGGCTTGGCTGAACTTTCAAAAGCTCACACGAAGCTCTCAGAGCCATCCTGTAGACCAGTAGAGCACGCTGCAGGAGTCACGAAGCATTCTCAGAGAAGCTGTGGATGTATATATTTTTGTTCTCCAAATGAACATTTTCCTTCTCAGTGATTCCTTTAGTGAACTGGAAGGATGATGACTGTATTTGGGCGTGTTGGAAGAAATAACTGAAAGCTACAAAAAAGTGATGAGACTTTCAGAAAAAATATGTAGCAGAGTGAACAGGAGAGGAAGAGCAGATTTGGGTGCCTGCATCTTGTTCAGGTGAATGCTGGATGTAGGAAGTCCACGCAGTGTGCTTGTCTGAGTGAGGACTTGTTATTTCTGTCTTCATAACGTAGGTGCGTTCATGTATCATGAACCTGATCAGCACTTGCAGCACCCTGAGTAGTGCAGTGCATTACGTGAAGTAACTCACAGCAGCCAACTGCGGGCACAGTGTACCGTAGCCACAAGTGCATCTGTGTACACACGCATTAGGAGACTGCATGAGAACGCGCTCCTCTGACATTACCTTGGGACACACTGGATATGGCTGAGGGGTGCCCACTGTCTTTCCTGTCTAAAAGCACCATTTTGATTTTACACAGGATGTGGAATTTAAAAACAAAAACAACACAAAAGAACACTGCCTACACCGTATGGAAATTAGTTTCTACCAAACAAACAAATGCCTCTTCAGTGAGTTTTGACAGAAGAATTAAGAACTAGGCTTTTTCGTGCAGTTATTAGCTATTTTCTAATAGTAAGAAAGGCCAAGGCAACAGTTAGGTCCTTTTGTTCAGCACTGTTTTTTGTTTTGGTTTGATAACAAGAAACAGTTGGAGCAAGCTCCAAGGTGATTGTGTGTGTACTCACCTTCTCATGTGTGTTGAGAGGTCAGTGCCGGCAGTGGTGGTGGCCGCTGGACCCCAGGTCCCTGGTCATAGCTAGCAGCCACTAGGTTTTTCCATCTTCCCAGCTGTGGCAGAAGCAGCAAGTTCCATCATCAGGTCAGCTCTTCAGTGTGTCTGGAGTCCTTCCTATCTACCTCTTAGCCCATTCTGCTAGCTTTTCTCAGTATTTGTAGGTACTTACTTCCCTGTACCATATGCTTTGCTCTTTAAAATGTCTGAGATGGATTCTGTTCCCTATAAAGAAAATAGACTATCAGAATTATTGACCAAAGAGAAGAAAACATTTTTAAATAAAGACAGCTTCTCAATGACCAAGAAGGCCCGAGCAGAGAAACTGATTACCAGAGCTTGAAGAGGCAGTGGAGCTGCTGAGAGAGACAGCGTGCAGTCTTTCTTTGGTGAAATTGCAGTTGTAAAATGAGCCTTTGCTTGGCAGCCTCAGATACTCGAGTTTATCAAGATGTTTGTCGATAATGAAAAACCCACAGAGGAACAGAAAAGCGCTTTCCTTTTAATAATCAATTGTATCCCAGTAAGGAAATCCATTTGGGGAGCCAAATGATAACCAGAGTCTTATTTCCCCAAGCAGAGGAAGTTACTCCTGAGATTTAACACAGTATTTGACGACATTACCAGTAATACTTGTGTTTGGTGAATCTTTGAGCAGAACATATGCTCTGGAAGGGCCTCTTAGAGCAGGCCTTGTAATTGTGTGTTCCACTTTGCTGGCTTTGCAGCCTTCTGCATGACATGTTGTTCCCTTCTAACATAGGTGTTTATTATTTAAATATTGCTAGTATAGCTCAGGAAACATCCTGTCTCTACCTCATGGAGATGGAGAAGTGGCCACATGGACCAGCCACACTAAAAAACAGATAGGGGACATTACTCTTAGTCAAAAACACCGACAGTTTAGAGAATAGCTACAGTATTTGAGGCTCTTCCCTCACGTGAGGTTTCAGGGAGCTGATTAATTGATCACAGGTGTTTTCCATTTAGGAAACATGTCATAAGATTTCCTTGAGCAGGCAATGTGAGCGAGGTTGCAGGATAACTTGTGATAGATAATTCTTTGTAAGTGTTGGGTAACAAGTGTGGGTTAAAAAGACATTCGTTATAGAAGCCGTGCTTACCTTGGGAATCATTATTTCTACCTTTCTGCTGAAAATCCGATCAGAGAAGTAGGGATTCAGAAGATTAGGTCTGGGTCCTCAAGTGCCAGACCATGAGTCCCCTGAAGGCAGGAGACTGTTTGGCCTTTTCCGTGCCCTATCATCCGGTGTGGAGCTGTCACGCAGCAATTAGTCACAAGACATCAGCTAACTAGTGACTTGCAAGCCATGATGCCTGCCACCCCACCCACCGATGATGGGGTAGATGGTGCTGATTTAGCAGCTCTGGTAAAGAGACCTCCCTCTGCCCTAGGAGAAGTGTGCATTCTTCACAAAAACAGAGTCTTTCCAGCTGGGCACGCTAGGTTCTGCACATTGGTATTCACCAGTAGCAATGGTAGACATAAACCAGCTGTAAAGTGTGTCACCCATTTTGACAAATACAATCACTGATAATTAGGAATTGGTATAAGGAACACTGTCTGCAAAGAAATCATATATGTGGAAAAAATAAATTCTATCCTGTCCCAAGTTCCCCTGATGCTTCTGTATAGTTCAGTCAGACTATTGACTCCTCCCTTCTCTCTGGAGATCTAGTGTATCCCAAAGCAGCCTGCATTCTGCTGACTAAACGTGACCAGTGAAGCCAACACAATTATTTCGGCAATAACCAGTGTGTATTTATGCCTTAATTAACATTCAAGTAAGCTTATATAAATGAACAAAACCTAAGGAGTCTTCTTTTCTCTTTAAAATAAGACAACATTCTCATACATCTCGAATGCCACAAGAAACCAATGAATAAGACAAAATAAAATGTAGTTAAGCTCACTAAAGAAATTCTTCCCAGCACAGTAAGTACTGTTGATGTGTACTCCAATCACTGTAACAACACTGAAAGGAATCCATTTCTACATTATAGATGAGGGACAGAGCTACAGAAATGAAATGACTTTCCTGAAGCCTGAGGGGCCAGGATTTGAACCAAAATCTCAGGAGTTAGAATCTCTGGCTACTTACTAACCAGGAAATATGTCTTTTAGTGAGCTAAAATAGTGGAAAAAGTTAAAATTTCTTCTAAAATCAAAACAATAGCAGGCATTTATTTTTATGTTTATAGTTATTATTTGCAATCTGTATTTTAAATATGATCATTTCTTGAATAGGTACTAGTTTGTATGAGATTATTTCTATGGGGGAGGTTAAAAATGTGTTGTTTCACCCACTATACTATATTTAGTTTCTCTGTCAGCGCAGGTTAATTGGAAAGTTTCTGCATATTATCCACAGTGTAAATTATTTATCATGGTATTAAAACCCTAGTGCCCAACCGAGAGTGCTGGTTTCCTGTCAAAGGAATATATAGATCATCTTTCATACATTTGGAGAAAGTACACAAACAATGAAGATTTCTGAATTAAATCATAATTCAGTGATCAAAACAGCTGTATTATGTGTAATTAATTCATCTGTTCTCTGGAAATGCAAGTTTTAACTTTCTAACATTTGCTGAGAATTCAAAGACTCCGATGTCCTATTAATGGAAGATCACAAGGACTACAGATACTTAGTTTTTCTGCTGTGCAATCGGTAACATACTTGGAATAACAGTATTATTCCATGTAAATTTTTCTAAATAAAGGGAGAGGTGACAGAAAAATATTTTTGTATTGCCTTTTCCCACACAGCACACATATAAAATACATCTGAAACGTCTTTGGTCTCTGGACTGACAAGCTGTCATGTAGACCAACCTGTGCTTTAGGAAAAGTAAAAATTTCTGCAAGAAATTTTAAAATACAAATTTTCTTAAACACATCGAATCATCACAGGCTGGTGAGAATTTTTTTTGCTCCAAATCAGACCAAAATGAAGATGTGAAGCCTAAAAACTCAGATTATAGAATTACAGAGGGCATTTGTCTCCCTACAATAGGGAGGGCGAGCTTTTCTTTCACTGGCTAGCACCGAAGAAAAACAAGTGAAAATACACACAAAATCACAGAACTGGACTTCAGTAGCCACTACATAGATTCATATTAAGCTGGATTCTGAAGAATCCCACAATGAAGGCAGGAGTGTGTGAATTAGCATTATTATACCCCCAACTCTCCAGCAGACAGAGGACTTCTGTAAATACTGAGCCGGAGAGGAAATAGATAGAGAAAAGCTATTTATGTCTGAAAGACTACATAAACGAAACACCGCTCCCTCCCCCACGCACAAGCACTCACTGAATTTTACTGGGAAAGCACAAGCCATCAATTTGGTATAAATCGATAGGGAAAAATTGTATCCTAAATGACCAGCGGGGAAAGACCTGAATCATCCTCAGTGAATGCATCTTCATGACAGTGCTGGAGAACTGCTCTAACCTTCTTAAGGACGGTAACCAATACTAAGGACTCAGTCCAGGTGCCAAGAGTGAGAATATTAGCACTGACCCCGTATTCCAGATATGAGAATTATCAGGTATAATTGATAAAAATAAGCACGCTAAAATAAACCTGAAATTTTCAGCAGAGTGTAAACCATAAAAGTGACAGGTGTGAATCATGATGTATGACCTTGAGATGAAAACTATCCAGTTTCAAGGATCTCAATTCTAAACAGAAACATGGCAAAGTTTCACTTTAAAAACATGTCTATGCACAGATGGACATACATGATGCACATATTCATAGAAGTTTTATTCATAACTTAGGTGTAGTCAAGATGTCCTTTAATAAGCAAGTGGGTAAATGAACCTCCATACATTACAGCAATGAAATATTATTTAGCGCTAACAAAGCATGTCTATCAAGCCTTTTAAAAGATGGAGTCTTGAATACATACTGCTGAAGGAGAGAAGCCAATCTGAAAACCCTACATGTGTTTGGGTCCAGTTGTGTGACATTCCAGGAAATGCAAAATCATAGGGACAGTAAAATGACCAGTTTCCAGGTCCTGCAGAGCAGAGCGAGAATGAATGAATATGCAGAACACGGGGGTTTTAGGGTGGGGAAGCTATTCTGGGTGATAACACAATGGGGAATATACGTTTTTGTACACTTATACAACCCACAGAACGCACAAGAGTACACTATATTAACAATAAAAAAGCACCCATGCCTAGATACATAATACAGAAACTGTGGAAACAGAAGATCTTACAAGCTGCAAAGAAAAACATACAGATCACTTTAAAAAAAAAAGCAGCTGATGGGTACCACCTCCCAACAGCAGGGGTGGTGAGTCTAAGACAGGACTGTCCTCTGCAGAGACAGCTGCCCACCTGGAGTCCTACTCCCAGTCAGATTACACACCAGGAAAGGATATGAGGTTCAGATGCTACCCAACACAGCAGGGTTGAGATAACCCTTTATGTTGTGATACAACACAAGGTTAAACATACATCATGAATTTCAGAGTACCCAGAATGTATCTCCAGATTACAACTCAGCCAAGGTGAACATCATATAGCTAAATGGTAACTGGTAACTCCCATTCATTTGAAATTAAGAAATAGATTTCTAAATTATGAATGAGTGAAATAAGAAACCAAAATGATTGAAAAAATGATGAAATGATAATCCTGAGTTACCTTAGAAATAGAGGATAATTAGCACTCACCCACCAATGTGTTACCTCCAGAAGTTAAAACGCAGTGCAGCAAATATAAGGAAAATTTTTTAAACTCTAAAAGCAAAGAAATGGTTCCTCTATGAACAACACTGCTAACACCAAAGGTGTAGGTTTGTTCCCTCATACCAAGCAGTTCTCCAGTTCTCTGCAGCTGCTTGTGTCCAGTGATTCAGGTCCACCGCCATGCATCTGCACGTCGAGGGGCCGTCCCAGATGGGCCCCAGCCACCAAAGCCAAGTACTGGTCTCCCAGCTCCTCACCGGGTCTTGATACTTGTTGGTTACAAATCCAGTGTTACTGCGGTTCCTCGTCAAGTTGTGGTAACAGCCCCCAGGACTCAGGGACATTCTCTGATATGAGTGGTATTATAGAGGGTGTCATAAATACACAAACAGCCACATGCAGATACAACTCATCTCTTCTGACATGAGCTGGCATGCCTCCCGGCTCAGGCATACCAAAGCCCTGCAGCTGTTCAGAGTGTCATTGTCACAGGGGTCCGCGTAGGACTTTTCATGTTCTGTAGTCTCTGGTTTCAAATTCTTACCAGATTTATTTTTAAATTCGTGCTCTGAAGGTGAAGTCTGGTAAGGCAGGGGAGCACGCAGTGACATTTGGAGCGCAGGGTCACAGGTGGTCTGTCCTTGCTGCCTCTCAGCTCCCATGGAGTGGCACTGCCTCTGCCTGGTTCCTGCCTCTGCTCTCCTTAACTCTCACGGGGCCTGGGGTACCCTGAAGTCTGCACTGAGCTGACTTTCATAAACCAAACCTAGTGCCACCTGAAAGCTTTTTCTTACTCTAAGATTGCAAGCCTTACATTTTCATTTTATACTGAGCCCCACAAATGACATAGCACCCAGGCAGTGGTCACTTGACTCGGTAGGGTTGGAAGATGGGCTCTAAAGAGTCTCTGTTAGAAGTCTTGTAGTGGCTGCTGGATTCAGGCCACCCAGCAGCCAGGAGGGTGGTTGGGAGTCATTCATTCCTCTCTGGGGGCCTGGGACAATCCAGCTTGGGTTCAAGCATGGCACATGGGTTTCCAGAGCAAGTGCTTTGTAGGGCAGCTGATGCTTCCTTGAGGCCTAGCTCTGGACTGGACGCTAGCAGCCTCCCGTCAGCCTGCTGGCAAACCAAGGCACAAAGCCTGTGCAGATTCCAGGAGAGGGACCCTAAACCTGGCCTCTCGGTGAGAAGAGTCATGAGTGCTGTGAGATCTCTAATCTGCTGCAGGCACATGAACGGCAAAGCAGCACATCAACGCGAGGAGATGGGCATCCTTTAAGGCAGGACACAGAATTTCCAGAGGCAGGAAGGACGCAGTGGGGCACAGGAAGGAGCCTTTTGTACATGAGGAAAGTTTCACGTGTACTTCCACCGGGTACATGGACTTTAAACTACTTGTATGTATGCTGTGCTTTTTTCCTATGTATATAATTTTTAAATGAAAAATGCTCGAATGTAGAACTAAAGTTTATTTTCAGAGGTTTGTGGTGCAGTTATAATAGTACTAAACAATCCCATTCGTATCCTAAGAAGTGTGTGTTTTCTAAAGCAATTGTACAGGAAGAGTACTTCACTGTTGATACTCATTTGAGAATTTACAGAGCACGTTTGGACACAAAACCAAACCAACTGCCTTCAGATCGTCTGAAGACAAAGCATACCAAGCAATGAAAAGACAGCACACTGTTTCATCCAGAGAGGCAGTTTATAGCCGCAGAAGGAACTGACAGATGCCACTGTCGCTGAGGCAAGGTGCTGCACACCTGTTGTGTGTGACAGGGCCAGCAAGGGCGTGGTGGACAAGGACCCTGCTGCCACTCTCTCTGCTTTGTTTCAAAACCTCTCCAGGAGGAATGCTCACTATAGGTACTAAGACACATGACCCATGACTCCAGGATGGTTACCGCATGTGCCCACTCCGATGTGCCCATCTCCAGCTTTCCTTTGATCTCTGTCTCTGCATGTCCCTGACCAAATAGCCGAGATGTTCACCACTGGTCATGAATCCTTACTCTTGCCTTGGCCCTTTGCTTTCAGCAAAATGCTGGTGGTCAGATGTACTGCTCTACAGACAGATTTTTTTAAGGAAATCAGGAGGCTGGCAAGGTTTGAGTTCACTGGCCCGGATTTTCCCATTCCTTATCTCCCGGAAACCACTCCGCATCTGGCAGGGTTGTGGGCACAAACTTCTCTGGGGCCCTGCCCCTCTCAGGTCCTAGCTCACTTCACCCTTAGGCCCTGGTGGGATTAGAAAGTAGAGTTCCTGCAACTGCCACACTTTCCTTCGAATTAGAGACTAACAACCCCCAGACTTTCATTGTTTTTCCTCAGGCATCCATGCACAAGCCACCCAATTCTGAGGTCTCCCCAGGCTTCTCCAACACCTGAGGTGTTGCATCCGTCAGCACCTTCACTCCCGAGGGCCTCGTCCCTGCTCACCCATACACACTGTCACCGTGCACCAGCATCCAGCTGTTACTTCTGGGAATGGCACTCTTAGACTGATTGCTGGTGAGCATTCCCTGCTGAAGTTTCCCCTTCTGAAGCTGCTTCTCTGGACCATCCCTGCACAAACTGTTTTAAGATGAGACACCTGAAAAACCGACAAAACCCTCAGACAGGTAGTTTAACAGCTTATGGAACCAGTACTATAAAGGAGTAGGGAAAGTGAAAATGGAAGAGAGAATGTAGGCCTGGGCATTCAGCTCAAAGGCACAGCGCCTGCCTGAGAGAGAGAGAGAGAGAGAGAGAGAGAGAGAGAGAGAGAGAGAGAGAGAGAGAGAGAGAGAGAGAGAGAGGAATGTGGTATGAAAACAATACAGGCTTCCATCAATACCACGAGGGTTCAAGCCCAGATGACCCCTCTGATACCTTCGCCATGGAGGAAAGGGAGTCTGGCCTTCGTGTTAATGCAATCAGTCCCTGGAAGAGAGCTTAATCTTGGGAGCAGGAAGCTCCCTCTAAGCTGAGGACATTTGGGGAATTATCAGTAAGCAGCAGTGTTCACAGCGCATGCAGGGGACGAGGAATGAAGCCCTACATCCAAGAGAAAGGGCTCTTCAGAACCACATAGCTGTCTCTACTGCAACATGATTGTTTCTTATTTCTACATAATACGTTTGCAGTGATTTAATCTGAACTGATTTGAAAGTAGACGGTAAGCACACTGAATTTTTCTCCTCAATAACTACTTCATGAAAGCAGTATCTAAGTCCTCTAAATGTTGGGAAATATCACTGTGCAATTATTGCAAACCTATTTTCAGGATACTGCCAGTTTCTTAAAATGGATGTGCTATAAGAGGTTAATGTAAGAGACCGTTGTAGTGACAGAAATGTTCTGTAACTTAACTGTACCAAGGTTAATAATTCATCATGCTGTACTTGATATTGCAAGATAATAACACTGAGAAAATGTAGTGAACATTACATGGGAGGATAAATAACTGTTACGGTTTGTATCTGGATGTCCCTCCTGTACCTCATGCAGTCAGGTGGACAGTCTTCTGCAGTCTGTGACTGATGCATAGTCCAGTTCTGGGAATATGGGTGTAAGTGCTATGCACACCCTAGGGCAGGTAGCCTGCATACAATATGAGACCACAAGAAGCCTCTCCTCTCTCTCTCTCTCTCTCTCTCTCTCTCTGTCCCTCTATCTCTCTTTCCCTCCCCCCTTCCTCTCCCTCTCTCTGTCTCTCACTTTCCCTCCTATCCTCCTGGCATTGCTTTTGCTGTTCCACCACCATGAAATGTTGCCCCTCTGCCATGTGCCACTCCACTCTGGAGCCAGTCAATTATAGACTGAAACCTCTACAATCTGAGCTAAATAAACCTTTCTTCCTTTTTGGTTGTTGGATATTTTCTCTAGGCAAGGAGAGAAAAGTAACTAACACAATAATGAATGATGACATTTCTAATGAATGACATTGTAAAAACATGCAGGCGTTAGAATCTAGACCTATATCTCACACCATGTACTCACCTCAACTAAAATGGATCAAAGAATTAAGTGGTAAAACAAAAGCACAGCTTCCTGGAAGATAAAATAGGTAAGACTCTTGAAGTCACAGATGTAGGCAAGCGCTCTATGGACAGAACCCCGGATGCACAAGAAACAGTACCAAGAAACAATAAATTAAAAAGCTTCTGCACTGCAAAGGACACAACCAAGATAGAAAAGACAACGTAAAGACTGGGAAAACGCTTTGCCAGTTAGTGCTCTCTGTCTTCAGCCGGGTCCTCTAGCACACACATGCCCCGTTCCTGCTTTTCCATGTCCAGCTCTGTGGGCATTTATTCTGGGCCACTCTTGGAAATCCTTATGTATTTGTTTATCTTGGATTAAATCTGTTTTGATAGTAGGCATTGACTCACACAATAAAGAATTAAAAACAATACACCTTCCAAAGTAAAAAACCCCATCAAATATGGGCAAATGAAATACATAGATACTTCACAGAAGTAAAAATGGTCAATAGATACATGAACAAATGCTCATCATCAGAGACAATTAGAGAAATGCAAATTAAAACAAGTGAGATTCCCTCTTAGCCCAATAAGAATGACCATCATCAAAAAATCGGGCAATGACAAATAGTGGAGAAGCTACAGGGAAAAAGAAGCATTTCTGTATTGTTGGTGAGAATGTAAACTAGCACAACTGCTAAGGGGATCAGTATGGACAGTCTTCATAAACTCAAAACTAGAGATTCCATTTGATCAGATTATACCCCAGTATGTTCTTCCTCAAAGACTTAAAGACATGGTATTACCATAATATATGCTTATCCATTTTTATAGCAGCAAAATTCATAGTAACAATTTTAAAAGTGGCTCGTAGGTCTATCAATAAGTGAATGGATAAAGGAAATGTGATATTTATAAACAAGGGAGTAAAACTCTGCTATAAAGATAAACTTGAGTCATTTATAGAAAAATGGGTGTACCTGGAGAACATAATGTTAAATGAAATAAGTCAGATACACAAGCTAAAATATTGCATGGTTTCTTTTATAGAAGAAATCTAACTTATAAGTAAAAAGCAAAATAAAAGGTAGAATGTAGGAAGTACATCTTTGAAAAAAGAATTAAGACATATGTACATGTATTAATTCCACACAGAAATATAAGCATTATTTAATGCAAACGTGTACTAACAAAAATAAAAAAGAATAGGATATTTCTTTATTACTTACTAAATGCACATGTTAATGTATATTATCTCATATAAAGTGTTTAAGTTTTAAAAAAGCATAAAAGTAATGTTTCTATTTCTAAATTGTATGACTTTTAATTATGAAGAATTAATCTTATCAAGTGCTCAGGAATTTCCCAGTTCCTTGGGGTGATCCAGGGTGCTGAGTCTCTTCTGCCGTATCTGCCCCCGCGGATGCACTCTGTCCTTTGACCAGTTCGGAATGTC